TCCAACGTGTTCCAACTTGAGTTCCTCGAAGGATTTGCTAATCTACCGCCAAATATACCTAGGTGGATTTCCACCTACCCACCCACCATGCAGGGTCTGATTTTGATTCTAATTTATCTTGCATTTCAAGTTTTTCAAAATCCAATAGTAGGTTGCCTGTTTGTATTTCAGACGTACAGTGACGGAGATGTAGGGGATGTTTTACACAATAAGCGCAGAAAGCATATTGTTACTCTTGGTTATGTTAAAAACATCATTGCTCAAATAAATGCGGAGAGAGATAACTCTATTTCATTTTATGTGCTGGTATTTATCTCGGGGCAAGACAATTTGAGGCGAAATTGGACACCCCATGCACAAGTTATATTAAACACCATTTTCTCGAATATACGTGATGCACCATTAGAGGCAACGAATTAAACCAAAAAGTCTGCACAATTTACGACTTAAGTTTTTACTCCTAATCGTTTCCAAGTATGAAATGATGATTATTTAATTTGATATTAACTCATTTATTCTATTTTACCTATTCGACAATGATTTTTTGAAATTGGTGCCAACTCAGCTATGAAGTTCGTTGCCAGGGTAATTTGCCAGAGAACAAGAGTTTTGCCACGGTCTCCCCGATTTTACGACGATTTTTTTGAAAATTGTGCCCAATCAGCTATATCATGTACGGTATATTGTAGGTCGTTGCCAGGGTAATTTGCCATAGAAAAATCGAGCGTCCCTTTTTTCTACCGTCTTTACTATTTTACAAATGATTTTTTAAATTGGCACCAAAAAATCAGCTTTACAGTCTTTACAGGACGTTGCCAGGGTGATTTGGGCAGCACATACTAGGGTATTTTAGTACTCAATGAGGATTGGCTCCCACATATTCAGGCCTAGGTTTTGAGATAATCCATCCTTCGTATCCCTTACTCGCCTATACCCTAACATGGGGATCAAATTGTTTTCTAGCTATAAGTAAAAAACAAAGTCTGTAACCCCCATGCCTGAATATGAAGCAGAATGGTGTTGGGAAGATTTTAATTTAAAAATACACACTTTTATGTAAGGTAATCTTAGGCCTGCGTACATGTAGCAACCGCCACCTAAAAAGGCATGTTGAATCAGTCGTACGTGGATTAAAACTCGGAGTTAAAGAAATAGTCCAGCCTAAACAAATATTAAAAATGGTCTTACACCGTGTCATTTTATTACAGTTTATAAAGTGCCCTTTCATTTCAGACCGACGTAAGATTTTTTTCTCGGATTCTACACTTCACTTATGAGTCAAGTTATGGACAATAATTTGGCTCGAAGTTAAGGAAGATAGTCTTGTTTGAGAATATGCAGGCGGTTCTATGTTTTTTATATCAACGAAGACGAAATTCACATATTTAGTCCCTCACTTTTGTTACGTTGACGATCTTCTTGAATATTGTCACATCATGAAGATCGTCAACGTAACAAAAGCGAGGGACTAAATATGTGGCTATTGTGTTTGAGCTCAAACAAATCAGTCTGGTGCACAAATGACATTCTTAAAAGGTAGCATTGATAGATGTTGATTAAGAATTCGAACATGACTGTATTCACACCTTCTAAAAACTGTAAACAAAGTCAACATTTCACCCGGGGTATATTCGCGAAGAATACCCCTGCTAACACGTGTAATATGTGACGTCATAACGGCGGGTCGTAGTAATGGCGGACCATAATGAATATTCGAAACATTTTGGTGAGTTTTCATGTTCGAATGTAGTATAGACCTCAGAGCAGTGGTAATATCGTCGAATACACCCCTTAGGGATAGGCACAAAGGCTTCCGAACCCATAAAACGGTTGTGCCTAGCCCTGCGGGGTGTATTCGACAATATTTCCCCTGCTCTTTGCTGGTCTATATTTCTTAAATAAAATAGTCGAGCTTATAGGTAAACCATTTATCTATGTGAACGAATTTCAAATATATGATTCACTATCGAGATAAAATTAATTGACAGTGGTAGGGATGTTAACAATCGGCTTATCCTAATCTCATTTATTAATCTCTTTAGAATCATTTACTATTTTCTCAGATTTGTTTCAGACTCCAGAATAGCTTAACATGTCAGATGAAATCGCCTTTTGTTGAAAGAAAGCATTTTAGCAATTTTAAACAAGCAGATTAATTAAAAAGTGTTGGGATAATTAACTGTGGTAGGGATGTCGCAGCTTGTCAACAATCGGCTTATCCTAATCTCATTTATTAATCTCTTTAGAATCATTTACTGGCTTAAGCTATTTTCTCAGATTTGTCTCAGCCTCCAGAATAGCTGAACATATCAGATAAAATCGCCTTTTGTTGAAAGAAAGCATTAATATCAATTTGCAATTTAAAACAAGCAAATTAATTAAAAAGTATTGGGATATTTAACTGTGGTAGGGATGTCGCAGCTTGTGAACAATCGGCTTTTCCTAATCTCATTCATTGGTCTCTTTAGAATCATTTACTGGCTTAAGTCATTTTTGACTCAAATTATTTGAATCGAAACGTTGGCCACTGACAGTGTGCGCCACAATATGATATTGAAAACATTGTATCTCAGCCAATAAAAGTCTGATCACCTTGTAATATGGCTTGTTTGAATGTATTCACTATTCTATCTGGCCATTAATTATTTTAAAGAAAGTAAATAGATTGAACCAGCTTATATTTTTATTCTACGAAAACACAGAAATGGAGAGATTTCCATGTAATTTCTGAAATAAAATTCCCACCATCCTTACTCAGCCATAATACCCCCGATCACCTCGATTTTTGCACCAAACATGGTCTTTTATCTGTACCTATATAGATAGATACTACGGTACAGAAAAATGAATTTTCATGGCAGATATTATACTCGACAAAGTTCGTTGTGTGTTTTTTTTTTGATTTTCAACTCTAATGTCAGAAACTTTTTTATGACACTCATGACCTTGTATTCGCGAATGCAACTAACGCCTGCCGGCTACCGGATCAACCTACTATTTCATGGCCAATTCATTTAAATATGAATGGAATAGTGGCAGGTAATATTCAAGCTAAGTCGTAGGGGGGGGGGGGGTCATTTGGATATGATAATTGAATACAATAAATTCGAAAAAACAGCAACTCGACGAGTAGCAAATCCCACCGATTATACAAATATTTTATCAAATCAATCAACATTTTGAACATAAGGCCATAAGAAGTCGATTCTTTGTTTTGCGTCCTGGCAAAATCCAAATCATGCAAGGGTACAAGGAAAACAAACACAAACTCAAGAAAAAACACAAACTTGTTTGCTGAGAAATGTATACATTTTATGGGCATAAAAAGTGATGACATACCAATTTGCAGTGATTACAAACCCATATCTATACATTTTATACAATATATTTAAACATAGCTATTATTCGAGGGTAAAAAATAAGAAAATGCACAATGTATGTCAGAGTAATCAATAACACAGTCAATTTTGACGCCATCAAATTATCCACCATTTCGTCTGATTCTGATTGAACGAAATGTGATGGAACTTTCAGACCCTTATGATTGCTATTTTGATGTGTTTTTTTTTCTGATTTACTCAAAATCGTGCAAGCAAGGGGGCGCAAAACAAAGAATCTACTTCTTATGGCCTAATAGAAATTAATTTCAGTAGTATGTAACATGGTCATTTTCATATTTTTAATATCGTGCTTTTCACATTGACCAATCCCTTTACACTCTGGTGATAACATTATTCCGTTATAAGTGGTTTTGTTAACATTAATACGGAATAAAACAAACAATTTTATGAAAATTGGTGACCTTGACCTACGGGAATGGGAATTGTGTTTCATAGCAAGTTCGGACGGACGGCGATACTATATAGCACATGCTCAAGGAAATGATTCTACTTCATAATATGTACACAAATTCACCTCTGGCGATAGAAGAAAGAAAACGTCTTAAGGTTTCAACCACCTTTGTTTACATTCTCAAAATTGTAAAAAATGACAAAAGTTGTCATAACTCCCTTCGGTCGTTCGTGGTACACAAAACATTTGTGCCTAGCCCAGTGGTATTTATTCGTCGATATAACACCTGCTATTTGGTCTATATTTTCTAAATATTTTATAACGTTATCCTGTTCGCCACCCAAGGCCTTAGCCTCGGACATTACAAGTGTAGTAATATTTCTCCTTTTGTTGGCCTACTGCATTGATATAAATTATTGAAATTAATTATAAATTGCCCAGACATAAAAAATCACGGCGGATATCCATATAACGGAGTAATCACTGCATTTTGCTAAGTCCTTTCGCCCTCTTTACTTTGACCTTTGGATTAGTTTTTTTGTTTTTCGCCATCTATTGAGAAATTTAAAATTTTGAATAATATCTCGAAAATGTAAATGTCCCAAAGGCATCAGCTTATGCCCTCAGGACACCATATATACAGGATTTGAAGCAAATCCATTGACTAATATTTGAACTGTCAACGATTTGTGAACGAAAAATAATGGCCATTTTAAATACACATCTTAAAAATTCATTCTTGAACAGCGCAATTTGTCCAAAGGGCGTAGACATATAAAATTTGAGCCAATCCGTTGAAAAGTATTCGAGATATCAAATATCACATTTTTATGAAAAATGGCGCCCATTTTAAAATCAGAAGCCATTTTGAAAATTTCTTCTTGAGCAGAGTGTTATGTTTATGTCCCTAGGGCATCAGTAAATAAAATCTGAACCAAATCCATTGACTTGATTCTAAGTTATCAAAGATTATATCCTTTACGAAAAAATGGCGGCCATATTGTATTTAGTGCCCACATTGGAAATTCGTTTTCAAGCGAAAGTGATATTTTCTTAAAGAATCAGCCTATACAATTTTGACTCATTCAGTCGACCCATATTTGAGTTACTGCCAGCACAGACGAACAGAAGGATGAACAGACGGACGGTCAGGTTCTCTATATCCATCTCGAACTAAATAACTATAATAAAAAGTCAATATACGCGAGGGTTAAATCAATAAACATGTTGGTTGGTTTAAACTTCACTCACAGAACAATCTGAGACTCAAGTACAACTACAAGACCAGAGATCAGAGAGAAGCATGATGTACATTTTCCTGAGTTTAGCTGCTGGCTTGGTACTTTTACCTTACATCAATCCGCAATGCTGTCAAGGTATTATTTTTCTAAAGTTCTGTTTTTATTTGTATTATATATGGAGAATAAACCAAATTATTTTTAGAAATTGCAAAATATTTTCTACGATATCACCTAAAATATTCAAATCACTAAAATAATATATTTTTAATAAAACTTTTTGCAAGGGTCGAGTTTGCAAAGTATCAATTTCAATCTGGAGAGTCAAGTTGTCACCTTGATAACTGTTCAAAAGGAAGGCGACATCGAACACAGTGATTGGTGATATAATGCACTGCAGTTATAGGAAATACTATGCTAGGATTTGCTGGATTCGGACACACCTTGCCTATCTATGTATGAATTGATTCTATGATTAATCGGGAAAGGAAATAACTTTTTTTCAATTTCATAAGAATATTTATGATGCTACTATATAACCAGAGCTGGGAAAAAACTAAATATTTAGAGCCTGTCGATTTATTTGTCATTTAGGGAATTTCTATTAATCCAATCCATAATGAAAAGTAAAAGATATGAATTCGAAGATTCAATTTTGTGTGGATTGAAACCCAAACACACTCGTATATCTGCATAAATGAGATATATTTGAACATCTACGAATCCAAGCATTTTATATCAAATGCAAATAATTTTCATTTCAACCTGTATCCCCAGGTATCATTAATGTTTAATTTCCCATATTGTCACTAACAAATGGACAGACATAAATTAGGTGTGACTCCAATATCGCATTTAAGATGGCAAAAGGGAAGTGTCCCTAATCATTTCTAGTTAATTGTGGCACCCACGCACGATATATAAAAACACATATGATCATACTCCAGAGTTTCCATTTCATATAAGTCTTATTTTGTTCAAATATCAAGCATTACGTCAACTATTGATTCGATGCAAAAAACTAAAAATATCGAAATCGACACTTTCCGTCCGCCATCTTGATTTGGAATGTGACGGCCGTAACATTTGCTTTAGAGGTCGCAACGGTACTGAAAACCAGTACCGGTAACCGTCATGCTAATAACCGTACCGTTACCGAAATACCGGTAAAAATATGTAAGATAAAATGCCAATGCGCTGCCACCCCCACTTTGTTCCTAACTCTCTCCGTAGCTTTTCAAGTCTATATGCATACATGGTGCAAGACCGCTTTGAACCCATACTGATGAACTTCACGAAATAGTGTGTAACTATCTAACAAATCGAGATGTATTTTTAGTTTTGAATTAAATGTATTACACATTTCAAACCATTTCTCAACTGTATCAATAGCAAGCGACGTACAGTATACATGGGGTGGGGTAGGTAAAATAGATATCATGCTATTCCTGCGTCATCCGTGTCAAGTGAACGCCAATTCAGTGCAGCTGGCAACACCATCACTTCCAAACGGGCACGACTTCAACCTGAGGTTGTCAATGCCTTGTTGTTCGTAAATGACTATTACAAACATAATTCAGTTTCTGGATCTGACGTTGACACTACACCGCGCGCCGGAACTGCAAAACATAACTACAAAATCTGAGCCTGAGCATGAAGCTACTACACCCGAACTGCCAAACATGGACATCACACCTGAACTGCCAAACATGGACATCTAAATGTCTATGTGAATGTTTGCATCGTGAAAATGGAAATTAAACGAAATAATTAAAAAACGACGTGTCTTTTATTTCCCCGGGGATTATCCTCGGTTAACCGGTTAATAATTTCAATACCGGTAAATGCTCAATTCCGTACCGAAACCGTATAACCGGAATTACCGTCAGCCTCTAATTTGCTTGATACTGACCAATTATATGTATTCATTGAACCACAATGTTTAAATCAAACGTTTTAGTGGAGTGCATTGGTGAATTTTTGGTTTCTGGGCCAAATGGTGTTCTAGACTCTGCGTTGACTGCATCAAGTGAATTTGACAGTTTGCACGGGCCGGACAGAGCAAGACTTGGCACACAGGAAGAACTACCAGGGTTTGTTAAAGCATAAATATATTATATAATCATAACCATCATACCATTTCATGGCACCTACCATTGTAATGCATAAGTTGTGATTGTATGACTAGAAATCGGCTACTCCACAGAGTATCAAATCCTAAGGAACACTATATTATATATACTATATAATTCATGAATCTGCATATGGCCCAATGTTTTGACAAAGCATGGACATATAATTTGAGAGATCTGTAAATAAAACTCACAGTACTTCTGATACTGAAAAAAGCGAAATTTGTCATCCCCATTTACTTATGATATGACACTTAAAAAGTTGGTCAACAATGTCAAATCGAGTAGGGGTGTACATTTTTGACATTTTGTGATAAATTGGCAATTTTCTTTCGAAAGGATTTTTTGTTCCAAATCATCTATATTATCTTTCAAATAAAACCAAAATCAAGGTCATAGCTTTACTAAAACTTGATAAATGAACTTTCAAATATAGCAAGTAATGGATCGCGAAAACCTTTCGAAATCAATGTAACGCGAAATTGAATAATCAACAATTTCAAGTTCAACATGTTTTTAAAGCATTCATATTCATGGGTGTTAAGTCACGATGATACCATGAGCACATGCTTTGAGGATCCGCGTTGTTTGAACCTACCGCCGAGCTCACTTATACATTAAGCCCCGTTACACAGTCATGATACCGCCGAGCAAGCTCATTGCATCATCGGGTCTGCTTTACCCCCGTGAATTTTAAAGATACGTAACACATAGGCTACCAATCAGTGATTTAGTAAGAAAAAATACGCATGCTCGACTTTCCAATATAATATCTGTCCTAGATTTTGGCTGACAACCACCTAGCAACAGGATTATTAGTGAAATTGAATAATTTGGGGAGAGTAAAAAATGACATCCAAATCTGGATGAGGGTATCATCATAATTCTGGTACCAAGGTTTGCATAAACATTCATGAGCATGGAAAACAAGTTTCAAAGGTATTCATTTTGTGATTTTTGAGGCAAATCGTTTTGCTATCAAATTCGTGGAAATAACGAGAATCGCAATTACTTAGCGATTCACTGTTTTTACCATTAAAAAGTCAATAATGGCTTGATTTTTATGAAATCAATCATATTGGAAAGAACATGATTGTCTATCAAACAAAGAGCAATAATAAAGATAATATCAATATTTTATGAATTTCATTTTAATAAACATCGACTTCCGACTATCATAACTTTGCCCCTTTGCACTAAATCACTTTGATTTACCCGCCAAAAAAGTGTCATTAATCTAGGAAAATAACGGAGGCGCAGAAAACTTGCAAAAGGTACTATTGGACTACTAAAATCGAAAGGCTCAAGTTGCAGACATTTGGGTTAAATAATCTTTCACTCGAGTTTGCTTCAAAGAGATCTCAAAATAAACGAACATTTTCACGAACAACCCCCCCCCCCCACACACACACACGGTCCTCTATTATTTTGGTTTTGAAACGAAAAACTTTAGCGAAAAATTTCCAACATTTTAAAGTAGCAGCCATCTTGATAAAGAAATTTACATAAAACTATTAACCAAAAATATAAATCTTTCGACCAAATATGAAGAAAATCCGTCACTAGTATTCGAAATATCTTCCGGACGGAAAACAGACGGACTGACTGACAGACAGGGAGCTTCACTATATCCCTACCAAGTTTTCAAACTGTGTTCGTTGGGATAATTATTGCCCTATCAAAATCATAGGATTGGGTCCGGGTCTTGGAGTCCTGCTGTGTTAAATACTGACCAGTGGATTCAGGTAGACTTTGGTTCTGTGAAGAGGGTTAGTGGTGTCGTAACACAAGGGCGGAATGCCGGCCCTCAGAATCAGAGCACTACAGAATACAGAGTCCTCTATAGAGAGAATATTGAACCATTCAGAGCTGTAACAAAGAACGGAAATGAGGTAGTATATACGAGGGGGTATCATTAATTAGTGAGAATAGTACCATAACTTTTTGAAAGGGCTATTCTCGGTTTGGAGAATTCATGCTTATATCAGCCAATTATGCTCCACCCTAACACGCCTAACCATCGACAACGTACAGTGACAAGATAAACCGTCGTACACTTTAGGTGTACGGTGTCACTATTTGACCTTTCTAATTAGATTTTCGAGCAGTGCTCGATTTTTTTCGTTGTCAATCTACCCATGCAATTGGTTGGTTGGAAAAATGTGTTTTTTACACATTTCCTTTGATCATTTCTCCCCTGTCGTCTAAGAGTGCCGAATATTTTTATGGGGATATGTTTCTCTAAACTACACAATTTAAGACGGTTGGAGGTTTTATAAATATTCATGTATCTGGTATAATTTAAAAAATCAAAAATGTACGTTGTCATCGCAAATGTACGTTGTCCCTGTAATTGAAATGTATACAATGCAATGATTAATTTCAAAACGCATTAAGGGTTATGAGTAACAAGTGATGTTCAACGAACATGTTCATGTATCCCTGGCACAGATAAACAGGTAAACCTGATTTTTTACCTCTTGTTGAATACTATTTTATTTTATGAAAGTGTTGATATGGTGATTAATATTTGACCATGGGGTGTTATCTTAAACCTCTTTGACCATTCGGCGTCGGTACGTTACGTTATGTTGCACTTTTATGAATTTTAATTATCTTAAGGAGTTCGTGGAGAGATCTATACTAGCTAATCGAAGATGACTTTCGAAATCCAGTTTATGCTATACCTGGAAAGTGCAGAGGTAAAAGATGACCAAAGGAAATGTGAAAAACCGATCATTGTTGGTGGGTAGATTTTTTACGAAAAAACTCGAGCACTGCCCGAAAACCTTTTCACCGAATTAGAAAGGTAAATGTCTTCCAAATCGAATACACACGAAATTAAACATAAAATCCCATAAGTATTCCTCACAATAATTTTTAAAACCTACACCACACCCACATCATCGTTTTTGCTTCATATCAGTTAGACTAGTGACACCGTACATCTAAAGTGTACGACGGTATATTTTGTCACTGTACGTTGTCGATGGTTAGGCGTGCCTAACGGTACTGCAAAATGGCAGTGTCTCTGACGTCACAGTCATATGTGACATAATATGCAAGATGTGACATCAGAATTGGTTGTGTTGTCATAACTATTACCTGGTAAAAAGTGCCCTGGTTTCTGGTACTTTTTAGCTGATACACGGACCACTAGCAACTGTTGCCATGGTAACCGCTGTTGCTAGGTATTTATTTGAAAAAATTAATGAGTATGTTCATTCAGTACTCTATTCCTCAGGGGATGTATACACGGTGTCGTTTAGACCGTTCCGTATTAGTGGTTGCATTGACATTAATACGGAATAAATCATACCATTTCATGAAAAATGCTGACCTTGTCCTACGGAAATTGAGATTATGTTTCACATCAAGTTCGCACGGCGATACTGTATAGCACATGCTCTGGGGAATTGATTCTTCTTTCTATAGACACCAAACACATCTCTGTCGATAGAATAATAAAAAAGCCTTAGGGCCCCAACCTCTTTTGTTTACATTTACAAAAACGTGAAAAAATGACAAAAGTTGTCATAACTTTTTAAATCTAAATCTGTTGAAACCGATTCCACTTGCTAGCGACAGATACTTTAGTCTTTCACGAACCGAACATGTCAGTTTGGTTCGTAATATCTCCAAATAAACGATTTCAACATTTTAAAAAGTTCGATGCTAGTCCACGTGTTAATACGGAATGGGTATACGGTTTCCAAATGTTAATACGGAATGGGTGTCAAATCGTATACATTCCCGGGAAATCACAATTTCCATAAAACTTGCATTGATAATTGTTCTGATAGCTTATTCATAAACATTGGACAGTATCTTATTGCATGCAAATGGCACGTTAATCGACGGCGTCAACACGTCTGTCAATGGCAAGGATTGAATGTTCATAAATAGTGTTCTCTTTTTCCTGAAGTATTAAAACATATGTTGTACATCAACGGCGTCAACGTGATAGCTTTACGCCCATTAATAGTAGATATAGGTTGTTGTACTTTTTCTCATTGCACCTAATAGGCAGTAGTTTACCGACGGCTTCAACTCAGCAGCCTGACGTCCGTCAACACCAGGTACTGGTTGTTCATAAACATTTTCATTCTTTTTTATTATTGTATGTAAAAAATAATTTCATCCCTTTATGTAACAGTTTATGTGAGGACGCCAACTGTTTGGCTTGAAACACAATAAAATCTTGAATCTTGTATTACATGTAACCACTCCAATTCTTGTGGATAGAATAAACATGATAATAAAAGCACCAACAAACATTTGAGTGTTTTGTTAACCGAGTTTGACCCAGTTCACCATGCATGAATCCTGTGAGTTAGCTGTACTAAGTTTATGATCCTAGGTTAATCATGCGCTCCTTATTAATCCCCTCAATTATTTACCATGAAGTGTTAACTATCCTGCACCGCCATGTCCAAAGAACTGCGCGTAAACAGATGAGCGGTTTTCATACTTTCATCAAAAACCTGAACCCGGTTTTCAAGATGCCTCGACCTCGTAAGAAGAGAAGCTGTCCATTTGTCCATTTGAATTTAATACAGCAAAACGAAGCTTACATTTTCAAATTGTTTCCATTGTGAAATAAAAATTGTAGTATAGTTGTCATTACTTATGCGATATTCCCTATCGACCGTGTCTAGTGATGGCACTTAATTAATTAATTAATCTAATTAGATGATTTTCTTGCGAAGGTTCAGTACATCCTTCAAACTGGCATGACACTCTTACTCTCTCCATGACGAATGAAGCTATAATTGAAACTAAATGCCCATGCTACTGAAACCCGTCAAGGTATTGTGTTTCATATCCTGGATTAAAACTTATTTATATTGTATGATACTACTAATTATCTTAATTGCTTCATTTCATTCACGAGTTCACCTTTTCGTTCATGGAGTTCATGTTCGGTTCAAGAAAGACTAAAGTATCTGTCGCTAGAAAGTGAAATGGGTTTCAAAAGATTTAGATTTAAAAAGTTATGACAACTTTTGTCATTTTTTCACGTTTTCGTAAATGTAAACAAAGGAGGTTGGGGCCCTAAGGCTTTTTTATTATTCTATCGACAGAGATGTGTTTGGTGTCTTTAGAAAGAAGAATCAACTCCCCAGAGCATGTGCTATACAGTATCGCCGTGCGAACTTGATGTGAAACATAGTCTCAATTTCCGTAGGACAAGGCCAGCATTTTTCATGAAATGGTATGATTTATTCCGTATTAATGTCAATGCAACCACTAATACGGAACGGTCTAAACGACACCGTGTATACCAAAGGTCTATGTGCAGTATGGCAAGTGATTTTAGACAGTCATATCTTTAACCATGAATACTTTCTAGGCATAAATACTGTTTTTTTTATTAAAACAATATGTTTTCTTTCAAGTGAAGTACCCATGATGATAAAAATATCAATCGAACAATTCGAAAAATTATGAATGGGGGCCCCATGTCAAATTTTTTTTCAAAATGTTGAACCTAGAGGATCTTCTTTTTCTGGTTTTTACTGCATGAAAAGATCATTCAACAAGGTATCTAAAACTTCTTCAAAACTAGAATGGTATTGAAATTCTCGTTTTGAAGATATCAATTTTCGATGACCAAAATTATGCTGAAAACAATGGATAGCATGAGTTTTCCCTATGGGAAAATAACATGTGATATGTGGTTTTTAACTTTAACAGATTTCAATACGCATCCCCTTTTCAGAAATTGTTAATATAGTTCAGAGGAAACTTTCCATGTGTTTAAATTGAGAAAAAACAAGATCCCTTTTTAGAAAATGAGCCCATATTTCTAAAAAAAAGTGCCAAGGTGGGGTCCTAATCTATAGTTTTTCGGAGAGTTAAGATTGATATTTTACTACCAGGGGGACTTCACTTGAAAGAAAACATATTGTTTTAATAAAAACCACTGTAACGATGGCCAGAGAGTACCCATGGTGAAAGATATTACCGTCTCAAATCACTTGCCATACTGCACATGGACCTTTTATTGCAATTGAATGAATATAAGATGCTGCTTCAAAAATTTCTCACTAATAAATGATACCCCCTCGTACAAGTCATATAAGCCAAGAAAATCTGTTATGAGAAAAAACATAATATATAGGGTGTCTCAAAAAAATGTACCCAAAAGTATATCAACACCATAGACAAACCAATCAATATTTTCAGACATTTTTTGCATGGTCTTGTAGATAAAAGATGAAAGTTTTTTCCCCTATACACAGTTTTTAATTCAGTTTTGCCTTTTTGATACTTTAACCCGTTACCTTTTAAACCACATATTCAATGGAACATCATATTTCGATGACAGTCTGCATCCTTACTACAACATTGTTCATCACATTTGATATTTCTGGTGGAATGTTTTGATTTCTGTTTGGATGCGTGTCTTAAGTTGTTATGGGTCTCTTAGCCTGGGTTTAGCATAAAAATGGTTCTTCAAATAACCTCAGAGAAAAAAGTATGGGCCATCAAATATGGTGAATAGGGAGGCCCTCACAATGTCTTATAGCAACCTTATACAGAGAGGTCAGAGGTTCAAGAAACTGCATTGGTTGGGATTCTAGTGTAGCTTTTGTTGTGTGTATCAATTTGAGAGTACTGTGTTTTCATTTGGATATCATTTGGTCTCCAGGCTAGCCTGCCTAACTCTGGAAGGTAACTCCTGAATCATTTGCCGATAATTGACCTGATTATCTGTGTTTGTTCTGCCATCGTCATCCTCAAACATCTTTCTCTGTGGCTTTTTGAAGGAGTGTTTTAATGCTCATTCCAAGCAAAAAGCCTAGAACAACTTAAGGGCAACATCCAAAGAGAAATCCAAGACATTTCGCCGGAATTATTATCAAATGTGATGCACAATGTAGCAGTAAGGATACAGACTGTCATCGAAATATGAGGTTACATCGATTTTGTGGTGTAAAAGGTAAAGGGTTAAAGCATCAAAAAGACAAGACTGAAATAAAAATGGTGTATTGGGGAGAAAACTTTTATGTTTTGGCTACATGACCATGCAAATAATATCTGAAAATATTGATTGGTTTATCTGTGCTCTTGATATACTTTTGGGTACATTTTTTGAGACACCCTGTATATGCAGCAATTAATGAAGTCATTCAATTCATTATTTTATTGCAATATCAATTATATTGAATAAAAATACATTAATGTTCAAAGCAAATATCATTTCTTTACGAAAAGGCGGCATTTTTACCAATTCACCAAAGCATCCGTGATGCAAAGTACAATATAGGCATTGTCCATCACTTAGAAACAAATCGAACTGGCAATTGCTAATGTTAGAAACCTATTTTATTTTAGATGTTTCAAGGAAACGATGATTTGGTGACACCGGTTATCAACATGTTCAAAAGTGTGATGGCTAGATTTGTACGCATCAACCCAACAGCTTGGGAAGACTATATCGCATTGAGATTTGATGTCATAGGCTGTGAAATATAATAGAAGAAGCAGTTACCTTACAAATATGTGGATGTCATTTTCGTTCAATTCCTCAGCAACTAAATGAGGACTTTTTGAATTGATAATGGTTTTCAAAAGAAAAAATATCATTTTCGTCAAGTACATAATTCACGGTGGCTTTGGCAAAACATAAAAAATGTTTTAAAAACATACGTATATGCACGCGTTATTGCACGCTTTCTTAATTTAAAAGACTGTGTCGAAGTACATGAAAAGATCACGCATTGAGTATAAAATGTCATTTCAGACGTTTGCTAAAACATCAAATAAAATGACCAAGCTGCGCGCATATTTAAAAATGACAGACGGGGAGGACACGACTCCCATAAGGATGAAAATTACTAGAAATACAGGGTTAATTTTGTTTCATTATGTGGAGACTAGCTTACTTTACATGTAGCACTCGATTTATTTCCTGGTGTAAACTTAGTTATCTCAATATGAGGTTCCCAAGGAGCTTTCGTGTTCAAAATACACAGTGTTGCGTCATATAATGTCAGCATTGAACAAAAGAATGCTTGATGTGATATTGTAGACATGAAGTTACTCTAAAAATAACACCTAAAATTGGGACGATTTCCTTCGGCTCCATGACGCCAGAGGCTTTCAAAGTCGTATTTACACCACTCATTTTCGATATTCCAAAACAGATAATGAAAAGCAATGAACGTCATTGTCGCCAAATTACAAAAACCTTCGTTACTGAGACACCTCGTATCTATGAGATGCAATTACTAACTTGAAAAAGGTACTTCCACATTGTTTTGCTGTTTATACAGTTAAGTTGGTTAATAGTTAGTTAAAATAGTTTATTTAAGTCACACACATATTATATACAATTGAAATACATAATATACATGACAAAAAGTGGTACTGACTTATAGCTCATTACTCTTATGATCTTAGTCTCCGGAAGTAGTAAGATTCTGGAGGATGTGTTCATCTTAGACTTTGGAGGCTGGCTGTACCATCTTAGATTCTGGAGGCTGTACCCATTTAGAGTCTCTAGACTGTACCATCTTAGGCTCTGGTAGCTGAACTTTCTTATTGTCTACTAGTATATAGTGGTGTCTAGAGTGAGTTGCAAGTTGGCGATTTGATCACCAATGATGAGAAGCAAGTGTTGCCTGCAACCGTACACGTCACGAGTCAGTTCATTTCCAGTCATTACAACGTCATTTATATCATTTATCCAAGGTGATATGGCATTGAACTTTCATTGAAGTTCCTAATATCTTTCAAATTTCATAAGGCAAACATTTAGAAACATTGCACAAAGACTTAACATTGAAGCCAGTGCAAAATACCATTTTGTGCACATATCGCCATAACAATAGTTTGATCCAGTAGGACTGTAGCTTTCATAATTCATAGCAAACAGCTTTTGAAATAAAACTATACCAATACCATGACTGACCAAGACAAGACCGTTGTTTTGCCCAAAGTATTTCAGACCAAAAAAGTGTATGATAACGACACTGATTTGAACATAGAAGGCTCCGTAAGCCAAAGCAGCCATTATTGAGGCAAAAATCAATCCTATTGAATTTTGATTAAAAAAGGAGAATACAATGTGACTGGAACAAGTCATGAGGCAAGGGAATAAAAGAATTGATGCCTTTGGAATATGTGGCCATCTCTCAAAAATGAAATCCGGTATCGCTCCACCAAAAAATCGCGCCATTGACGCGAAAAATGGTATTGCAACAGTAAAAGTTATTGGTTTCATTTCAACAACTGAAGATTGTAAAACAGTTGTAATGTTATTCGTAAACGATCCACCAAGACCCCCAATGATTATACATATTATAAAAATGTAATAAAACTGGGTCGTTTTCATCATCTGCCAAAACGTCATCTCCATCTGGAATGACTGTGCTGTTGCTGTCTTTTCTCGGATACGTTCTGTTGTATTGTTTGTTTCCTCATCTTTTTTCACTGTATTAATGTTGTATAGGTGCTTATCGTTTTCCTTATCAGTTGCTCTGGGTGGGTCAATTTCGTCATATTCAGTGATGTCCTTAACGTTTTCCTTATCAGCTAGTCTCGATGTGTCAATCTCTTCGTAATCAATTGTGTCCTCGGGAACTATTTTAAGCATTAAAATAGCAGACAGCGTTATGAAAGTAGATATCACGGCTAGCATTATCATAAACTCACCAAGTTTTTGATTCCCCGGATCCGTTATATGACCTTGTACAAAGAATCCTTCATAGATGGCGCTGTAGATTGCAGGGCTTGCCCCAAACATAGTATTAAGAAACCCAAGTATCTTGCCCGAATGTTTTATGTCAAAGTTCATGCAATTAACAACCATCGACGGTACAAATACAAACAATGTCCCAGTTGATGCCAGAAAATAGAAAATACAAAAAAGCCAGAATTTTGAACTGAAGTATATCCTAAAAGTCGTTGCCATCCACATTAATGTAAATCCAGTGGCTGTTAGTATAAATGAAATGGTACAAGATACTCTAGTACCAAATTTGTCAAAGGCAACACCTGCCAGAAAGTTTAAACTTAGTCCAAAATCGCCACTGGAAGCAATATAGTCCAGTTCAGTCTGAGTGTAATTGAATGTTTCTTTGAGAGAGATGGCATATGCATTAAATCCGAACACAATGCCTCCTAGGAACCAACAAAGCAACCCTATGCTCAAAGAAACACATTTCTGGACTTGTCTGTGTTTTGAGTTCATGATTGAAATATATTATTTTACTTTTGCCTTCGTTTGAAGAAATCTGCCTTTGCCTTTAATCTCGCTTGTTCTCTATGAGCAACGTTACATTACTTTTAATGATGGTTAATAAATTACCAGCTCGATCAATTTGACTTGCAGGTGTTTCTTTTAATGTTCAATGCATTTAATAAACAAAACAATAATTATTGTTAGAATTAATCTAATTCATAATTGGATGCTGGCAAGTTGCTCGATCGGAACTCCTATCTTCTTATTAACACTGGCGGAACTGGGGGGTCGGCCCAGAAAAAAGAAATTTTGTAGGGTCTCCATTAGTGGGCCTTTTGGGCTTTCTCAGGCCAAATTATCAAAATAGGCCTTAAATCTTCAAAATGTTGACCCAATTTTGGGATTTAGGGGCCCAAACAGCCTTTTTACTGATTTCAAATGTGTCTCCGCCCTTGTTAGCTTCTGGATCCGCCACGGGTCTGAAACGTCTGTATTATTATCAACTTTACAAATCTCATATTTAGATTAATGGGGTTTTAAAACCCAAAATGTAAAACTTAAACAAGACATCTAAACATGCATTCTAGCTATAAAAGTCTTTGTACACAATTTAAAATATATCGGCTAGATTCTGATAACGCATACAGGCCCGTAAGACACTTTTCTCCAAGGGGGGTGCGGTTTTTAGCTTACTGAAGAGAATATAAAATTGTCTTTTTTTGCCGCGTAAATCAAATCGCGTAAGACAGAGGGGGGGGGGGTCAGTTACTCCCTATATTGGTTTGGAATTAACAAATGCATGCAACTTCCAAACGTTCCAATTGTTTTGTGGGGGGTGTGAGGAGTGGTCCACTCCCCCTAGAAAATTTTACAGTTTTGAGATGCTATTTGGTGCTTTCTGGGCACTTTCAAAGTGTAAGTTTCTAAGTAGTACGCCACCACCACAGGAATAAGAGTTGAGTGAATAAAAAACCGAGCATTCAGGGTGGTCTTGGGGTTCTCCCCCAGGAAAATTTTGAAATTTGGTTGTATTTGGAGCGAATTTGCAACCATCTGGTACGCCTGTGCATTATGAGTCAATAAGAAAAATGTGAATTTTTTTCAAATTCTTTTGGGGGTGTCAAAGAGGATGAGAGGGTGAAATGGGGTGGGGTGCCAGTAGGGGAGCAAGGGGTTGTCCCCCAGAAACATTGACCATATCAAGGTGCTATTTGATGATGTCTGGGCACTTAAAAAATGTCTGAGACAATACATGAAATTCAGAATATTTTCTTTTGTTTTGTGGGGGATGTGAGGGGTGGCTAACTCTCCTAGAAAATTTTACAATTTAAAGATGATATTTGGTGCTTCTGGGCACTTTTAAAGTGTATTAGTCAATAAAAACATTGAAAAACAATCACAATTTGTTTCAAATTTTGGGGGTGTCAAAGGGGGGGGGGGAGGGGTGCCAGAGGGGGAGGTGGGGCTGGGGTGCCAGAGGGGGAGCAAGTGTTTGTCCCCCATATCAAAATTTACAATATCAAGGTGCTATTCGATGAAGTTTGGGCACTTTAAAAGTGTCTGTGCCTAAAAGTGCCTATTTCCCAAGAGAATTTTACAATTTTAAGATGCTATTTGGTGCTTTCTGGGCACTTTCAAAGGGGATGAGTCAATAAAAAAATTTGAAAAATCTCATTTGGGGGGAGGGGTGTTTAGGGAGGGAGCTGCCAGAGGGGGAGGTGGAGTGGGGATGCCAGAGGGCGAGTAAGTGTTTGTCTTCCAGCATCATTAACTTCATCAAGGAGCTATTTGATGATGTCTGGGCAATTTAAAAGTGTCTGAGACAATACATAAAACAAATTCAGAACTTTTCCATTGTTTTGTTTGGGGTGTGAGGGGTGGCCCACTCCCCCTAGAAAAGTTTACAATTTTACGACGCTATTTGGTGCTTTCTGGGCACTTTCAAAGTGTATGAGTCAATTAAAGAATTTGAGAAAATCACAATTTTTTTTGGGGGGGGGGGGTCAAGGGGGGGCGCCAGAGGGGGGGGTGGTTATGCAAGTGCAAGATGCAAGAGGGGGAGTAAGTCCCCCAGAAACACTAACTATATCAAGGAGCTATTTGATGATATCTGAGCACTTTAAAAGTGTCTGAGACAAAAACTCTAAAATAAATTTTTTCCATTGTTTTGTGGGGGGTGTGCGGGGTGGCCAATACCCCTAGAAAATTTTACAATTTTAAGATGCTATTTGGTGCTTTCTGGGTACTTTCAAAGTGTATGAGTCAATGAAAAAAAAATTACAAAAAAAATATTTTTCAAAAAAATTTTTTTTTCAGATTTTTTTTTCAAATTTATTTTTGGGGGTGACAAAGGGGGGTGCGGTCGCACCCATCGCACCCCCCCCCCCCCATCTGACGGCCCTGGCATACAGGGTGCCCCTCTAGGCAGACATACACCATTATCTCCATAGTATTTGTCATATATCATTTTAAAGCTCATTCAAAGTTACATTGATTTGCCAAATATCATGGTTCAACTCACAAATGGGAAAAGGTTACAGGTATTTCAAAATTTAGGGTTTATCCAAAATTAAAGTCAGTTTTACACCAGAATAATAGTCGATTTGTCTCCCTAGACCATGTTAACAGCAGCAATGCTTTCCAAATATGACCTTAAATGCGCTCCAAATAGGAATGTGGCATTTTGTAATCCTTATAAAACCTTTTTAAGGCATTTTTGAAGAGTTTCCTTGGTGTATATACCCCCAACATCCTCTTTTTGAACACAATATCCATCCTACCTTCAACAATAGCATCCATATATTAGAGATATACAGGCAAATGTGGAGGACGAAAGGATTTCCAAATGTGTACATTTTTCTCAAAAAACGTCACATTCTGTGGTGTTAAAAAGCGAAAATGTGTAACAATGCGTGCGCGACCTTTTTGCGACACGTCATTATTTACAATATTGAGCTTAAGTATTAAATCTCAAAAACTCTTTGTCAATTGATTTAGCCCAATTTACAGGGGAAGAAGGAGCTTGGCCGGGGATATAAGCATGAGAGATTTGGAAAAGTATGAGGGGGAGGATGCAAAGGGGATGTCAAACCAAATTGTGACTTCATTCCCGATCGCATCAATTTTTATTTTGCAGCTTTGAAACTGTTGGTGCCATGTAAAGTAGGTCGGTTTCACCTAGGGACTGGATCACGTCGAAAAGTTGTTTAAGGTAGATAGATACATTTAGTATACTAAAGTTGTCGTGAAGTCCAACGTCTGTCAACACAAGAATACGCCCCGGATGTTCCATCTTCAATGTTCGCAAATCGTCGAACTCCCTTATTGGTTGATCTTGAATCAAAACATGTTTAATTAATCACTTGAAGGCCCAACATGTATTGTTGATGTTTAATAAATGGCTAAAATCATTTTCACTTTTTCCGTCAATCAAATCTAATAAGCAACTAAAGAACTAATTGCAATATTATAAAATAAAGGGTGACACAAAAAATGCCACCCACTAATTTTGCAATAACTTTCTCGATAATTAAGAAATCTACGTGATTTCCCGTGTGTAGAGTATTCAACGAAGCAAATATTGGTGTAGTTTGATAGCATCAACAAAATTTCAGATTCAGACCACTTTTTCCATCCAGGCATGCTCCCTGTGAAATCATCAAAAATGTTCAAAAATACAATTTTATGAAATTGAGATTTCTGTCTTAGCTATTATTTGAGTCATTTCTGGATTGCTTTCACATATATTATGAATAATGTGTCATGTATATCCATTTTTCTTAAATAATTTTGTCTTTAATGAACTGACACATTGGGTATCTAATAAAGACAAATTTTCTAAATTTTTTTCTAAGTTTTGGATGATTTTGTGTCGGAGCATTCCTCCACGGAAAATGAGATATCTCTTAAATTTCCAAGTTGGTCCTATTCTATGCAAGCACAGCAATATTTTCCCCATATATAAAAAATCATGAAGATTCCTCAATTATTGATTCAAAATTAGGGGGTGGCATTTTTTGTGTCACCCTGTACATTCATGTTGGAATGGTACACGCAAAATATTTTTTTGTAAAATAATTAGGTTTATATGCAATAAACCTATGAGCTCTTGTAATTTACTAAGGCAGAAATTTGATATAAGAGGCCGTAAATTTTATAAGCCAAACCACAATCCATATATGAAAACGTTTTGCAGGTATAATCTGGATGTATTTATCCATACAGTATGGAACTGCGGTCCTTTGATTGCTTGTTTTTAGATTTGAGATGGACTTTTATCTGATTCCAATGTGATATTAGTGAACAACCTACATTATTACCACCTTGCCGGGCCAGTTCTAGGGGTTTTAGTGCTAGTTTAGAAGGCGTTTATTTTACTATATCGACCTGAGAAATATGTGACGTCATAGTGGTGGTCCATATGGACCGGTCTAGAATATATTCTGGACCGGCAATTTTCCCCGGGAAATTAGATATCGTTCAATGCGTAAGATTTTCTTGCTGTTTCAGTCCTGGTCGTTAACGGTGGTAATAATACTAATAACGTCATTTCTGCGAGCGATATAGTGAAATATTGGACCTTGGGCCTTCGGCCCTCGGTCCAATATTTCACTATATCGCCCTTAGAAATGACGTTATTGTACTATTCTAGTATACTGTATATCTTATGATAGAAGAATTTGATTCCGTCGCAGATGTTCACGAAGCTCCTTTCCCAACATTTGTAGGACCCCAACGTGGTCGTATTAGGCTGACACTTCTGGACTAATTCTGAAATAAAGAAACCATCCGTAAATTGCCCGATTAATTTGCTTCTATGTAAAATCAACCTTCTCAAAAATACTGCTAGAATGTAGATGAACCACAGTTGCTCAAATATATTTCCAACGATTATTTCCTGACTTGCTATTATTTATTTGCAGACTAATTGTGCTCTGTTTTGCTGAAATCAGGATTTTCAAATATCTTTTTCAAAGATCGACCGATCAGAATATATCAGTATATAATTTGTTTGATATACGGTTTAAAATCCTTTTGACAACATTTTTAACAAGGCACTGACATGCAAAATGTCACCATCTG